TTTAACTCACATCGAACACACACTGGCGCTGGTCGGAGCGAACTCCCCGTGTATCATTATCATAGAAGTAGATGACGGGCTCGATCTCCAGGGTCGTTTCCGTATTAGCGGGAATGTAAAATGGATTGCTGTGCCACACAAACGGCTCGGTTACCATGACATCGATGCCCTTCAATGAGTCCTTATCGTTTTTTCCTGGCCAGTACTTAGAGGCATGAAGAACGACCCTCACTGATAGTGCGCTCATGGGTCCCGCCGATCCTGTGCGCCAAGGCCACATGGGATCGATGAGCTGCATTCTCCTCCCCTCGTCCGTCTCTACGGAGTTGAACGCCCAGCACAGTCCGTTCTTGCTGCGCCGCTTCGAAAAGATATCGCAGCAGTTGTATGCGTAGTGCCGCCACAGGCAGTCTGTGAACAATTCATCGCACCGCCAGGTCATAAAATCCACCACTTGACTAAAATTGATGTAGTTTAGCAGCTCCGTTGGTTGGTTGCGCAACCGTTCAAAGGACTGAAAGTGGCCAAAGTAGGCATCGTCGTAGGTGCCAACGATTCGTTCAAAGAGGGACAGTTGCACAATGTCGCTGACGTTCGACATGAACCTTGACTTCGCCTGAGACAGACGATGCCAGTTGAGGCGGTTGCGGTTGCAGATCGTAATCACCGGAAAGGGTATGCGGTACACCGGGTACCGAGTGCTGTCCACCACCGTCTGAAAGTGGGCAGCGTTGTAGCGGGCCGAGAGTATCAGGCACACGTAAACCGCCCCCAAGAACGCCATTACAAAGGTGCAAAGCCAGACTAAGCGCTCCCACCTACTTGCTCTGGCACTGAGAAGCCGATCTAGTCCATGTATGGTAGTGCGTTTGCCGAATCGCATAGCCAACTGCCAAGCGGACTGTGCAAGGCTACTGGGAAGCGATGGCTGTGGCTTTGGCGGATTAAAGTAAGCGAGTGTCATGTCGGCATAGGAGTCACTGAGCCTGGACGGAAAACAGGCCACGATTTTATACCACTTCAAACGTGTGCGTGCTGAAATGCAATGGTAACTAGGGGCCGTTTACGCCTTTAAGTGTCACAAAACGCGGTTGACGTGTTGCCCCCTATTAGCCAAACTGTCAACAAAAGGTCAAGTAAATCGATTGCTTATTCCCAAAAGATTTAACGTGATTTGCGGCTGATAACCAGCTGAAGGGGGAATTCCCAAATATTAACAATGTTCCACAATTTAAAAAGATTCCAAAAGCAGATTCAATTAAAGGAGCAAGTAAAGTAGCACGACTTTTTTAATCGGAAATTAAAGAAAATGTGTCAGATACACTAAAATAATATTTTTCTAAAATATAAACATTTTTTTTCTATATCTAATAACAAATATATTTTATTAAAAGAAAGTTTTCTAAAAAAAGAATTTTTAGAAAATACTTTTATATATACTTTTTTTTCTAATCATTCTCTATAATTTTTCATTTTTACAAGAAATATCGCTTTCACTCTTTTTAATTAGGAAGTTAATTTTCTTAAAGGATAGTCTAGGGGGTAAATGTTTTGAAACATCAAACATTGCGTATTTATTAAAGTTCCGGGCTCAAATCTATGACAAGATTACCAATTTATTTTCTCTTTTTATTTTAAATTTTTACGGAGCTGATTTTAAGAGACTTGTTAAATAAAGCTATTTGATTGTAAACATTTTCCTTTTAATTTGTGCCCGTATACTAGTGTCGAATTGATTGGCGCAACCTGCTTATGGGGCTTCGAATCCAAAGATCCTCGGCTCGAATCAATGTTGGGTCGCCTTGGTCGGACAAAAAAAAGTAATTTTGTTTTCTCTTCCATTAAAGTTTATCGAAATTTTGTTTTCCTTTCATTCTAATGACGGAGAGTTTAAAGAGGTTGCAACGAAATGCGTCACATGAAAAAATTGATTACTATACCCCTATAACCGAAAGTAAAATAGATAAAGAGGGTATGATGGGTAATAAATTAATTGAAATTTTTACGCTACTCTTTTTTTTCTTAAATGAAGAAAATAATAATTGTTTTCTTTCGCCTTACATTTTAAGAAATTTTTCTGAAATATAAGCAATAGGAACTATCGATTAATTGATCTGCAAATCATCATAGCTTCAATGTTTTTAAACATATGTGCAAGTAAACCATAATTTTAATGATTTCAAGAATATTTAATTTTTGCAATAGCTGCAAGGAATATGAACTTCGGCTTGCAGAAGTTTGCTTCCTTTCTTGATTTTTTGGTGTTTTCGAGTATAGGTTAAAAGAAACTTTTTAATTTAATTCGCTTTCGTTTAAGCCAACTAGATCACTGATCACTGCTAGGTTCTATTGGAAGTTAGTGGTTTCGAGAAAATCGATTTTAAATTTGTGTAAAGCAGAGTAAGTAGTAGGTAAGTAATTTTACAGGACCTTTTAATCCTGTATCCGAAAGCGTCTCAATATCATAAATAAAAATTAAACATAAACAAGAAAGAAAGCAAACTTCGGCAAGCCGAAGTTCATATACCCTTGCAGCTATTGCATGAATTAAATACTTTTGAAAATATTTAAATTATGATTTACGTGAGTATATGCTGAAAAACATTGAAACTATGATGATTTGCAGCTCAATTATTAGATAGTTATTTTATATATTTTTATTATTTCTATGGGAGCTATATGATATAGACGTTCGATTTTGATAAAATTTAAACCATAATTCTGAAATAATTAAACATTGCTATACGTCGAAGAACTAAACAAAAAATTAAAAAACAGAAAAGTTATAATTTTTTTCATTTATTTTTCCGATTGTTCCTATGGGAGCTATATGCTATAGTCGTCCGATTTTGATGAAATTTAAAACTTAATTCTGAAATACTTAACTATTACTATATCTCGAAGAACTAAACAAAAAATTAAAAAACAGAAAAGTTATAATTTTTTTTCATTTATTTTTCGGATTGTTCCTATGGGAGCTATATGCTATAGTCGTCCGATTTTGATGAAATTTAAACCGTAAATCAGAAATATTTTACCATTACTATATGTCAAAGAACTAAACAAAAAATTAAAAAACAGCAAAGTTATAATTTTTTTCTATTTATTTTTCCGATTGTTCCTATAGGAGCTATATGCTATAGTCGTCCGATCCGGCTCGTTCCGACTTATATACTACCTGCAATAGAAAGACAACTTTTGGGAAAGTTTCAAGCAGATAGCTTTAAAACTGAGAGACTAGTTTGCATATAAACGGACGGACAGACGGACAGACGGACAGACGGACGGACAGACGGACAGACGGACGGACAGACGGACATGGCTAGATCGACTCTACTAGTGATGCTGATCAAGAATATATATACTTTATAGGGTCGGAAACGTCTCCTTCACTGCGTTGCAAACTTCTGACTGAAATTATAATACCCTCTGCAAGGGTATAAAAATAAACAGTTTTTTTTTTTGGCTGAACGGAAACTTACCCTTAAGTTATAAAGCTGACTAGCATCAATCAAGCAATTCAATTGAATGCAATCAATCGCAATTGATTTGCACACAGTGATTAAAAATTACTCACAATGGATTAGAATCAAGAAAGGTTGTGGGTACGCGGCCAGAGAATCCCCTGAGCAACACCCAAATAAGAAAGAAAAACTTCGTCAAGGCGAAATTTATACACCCTTTCAGCCAAATCAAACATGTTATGTTCAAAGCGGTTTTTGTTTTTCGATACATTAAGCAACCGTTTCTATGGCAGCTGTTTCAACAGTATTTGTTATTAAAATTACAGCCCAGTAATTTCAAACTTAATTTTGTAATGTATCAAAGTTTTTAGTCATCAAAATGCTTAATACAATACAACATTTATTTTTATTAATAGTTTTTTTATGTATGCCTCTATATAAAAACTATTACAAATAAAATTCCGGAGTATAAATAAAAATTTGTATCTTATCGAAACACAAAATTTTAGCCAAAACAGCAATCAAAATGTTATGTTGCCAGCCCCAATTGTCAAGTTCATAAAAGCAGAGCGAGTTTATGACAATCTAAAATTAGCGTGACCTCGTTGCTGTTCAATAAATATCCATATTTAAGAAACTCTTGAATATAAACAATTTTTTCATAAAATTTAGGGAATATTTTTAACGGCATGCTGAAATTAGTCTTTTTAAATAAATATCCTCTGGTTGAAGTTGCCCCCAATGATAGAATTGATTAGTCTTTCCGATTCAATTAATGACTGTTTATTTACGTACACCAAAAGAAAACATGTGAGTCGCTATTAATAAGTGATAAAATTCGGTTACTAAATTATTGTCAATAGTTAAACAAATCCCTGAAAATGATAAGTATATCTTAATAATACTCACTTACATTCTCAATGTTATTTTAATATAAATATCGTTTTATATATTCGGTATCATACAAGGCCCTTTTGTAGAAAATACTGGAAAAATTTTGTAAAGCCAAAAAAAAAGAAAATAATAGATGTTAGCTAGATTGTGAGTTTTAAGGGGAGGTTAATCGATTTGGTCACGCTCGAATTTTTTTGTGGGATAATAATATGACAGAAAATTCCAGTTTTGATTATCATATGTGTTTAATATCTCCATGCCGCATGCCGCATGCCGCAATTGAAAATGGCGGTTCACGTCGACCTTTGCACGCGAAACATCGGCTCCAAGTCTGCAGCCTCTTGTGATAAACTGAAATGAGTAATTATGTTAAATTTTATAAAGTTTTATATAAAAACAGTTATCTAGGAAAAAAAAATCAAAAAATTGAGACAATTCCCGACTATTAGATACCCGTTATTCAGCCAACAAATTGCAAACTAAGTATTTCCCTTACAAAACAAGTTTATGTGGTGCAAATACAAAATATTTGCAACATACAAAGTATCTTTAATCAAACCAAATCATGTCAAAAAAGAGAGTTCTATTGCCGATTTTTTCTCGGTGTATTAACCAATACAACCATTAATTCCTCAAGCCTGGCTATAAAAGCTATGCTCCTGCTGCACAGAATTAATCATAAAATGTTTTCGCGTTCAAATGGTAAAGTCAAGCGAGTTGTGCCAGTTGGTGCACGGAGGGAGAGCCGGAGCGCTTTAAAGTTAAACAATTTAAAATCAAGCAATGAAACCGGTTGGACGGTCCTGCTCAACTCCTACATAACCAGATCACACATACACGGATTGTATTTGCTCCTTTTGCCGAGGATGCGGAAACGTATGCGGTGAGACTTACTGATTAAGACTAAGCTCTGAATCATTTTATTGTTTTTTATAGGATTCTGTGGTCCATAGCTATGATCTGCGCCTGCAGTGTACTACTCTACGTTAGCTATTTGCTCGCGGAGCGTTACCAAAACAAGCAGTTTATGACAATTGTAGCCCATTCGCATGCCTCCATTCTTCATATCTCCTTTCCAGTTGTTATCATCTGCAACAAGAACCGACTTAACTGGTCTCGACTGCCTGAAATCAGAAAGAGATATAACATTACAAAGCCCCAGGAAAGACTTTTTGATCGAATTCTTACCGCCTACGACGGTTTAAGTTTTGATAAATTCAACGTATTCGATTCCTTGCATGGAGAACCCCTGGACGATCTCAACCACTTGAACTTCACACAAATTGTTACTGAGATGTCCTGGAGATGTGACGAAATCCTCGCTGACTGTGTCTGGCAGACAGCGCCTCGAAACTGCTGTAAGCTTTTTCGTCCCCGACGCCTACCCCTTGGGTATTGTCTGGCATTCAACGAGCTAGAGCAGCGAAGGGGTACAGAAACTGGCATTAACACGGGGCTGCTTCTGAGGCTGTTACTTCAAGAAGCTCATCATGCACCGGATAATCCTGGATCAAAGGGCTTTTTGGTGGGTAGTAGATCTTTGCAGGTTCAAACTGATCTTTTTAAAAGCCTTTAACTTCGGCAATTCGATGTTTATATTCCCTTTGCAGCTATTTCCAAAATTAAATATATATACTTGTTTGTATATGTTTAAAAACAACAGATATATAGTATCATTGTCCGATTTTAATCAAATTTAAACCATACTTTTAAAATAGTAGAAAAATACCCATCTGAACTAAAAAATAGTGAAAAAGAAGACTTTTCAAAAAAGTTGCATCCAAATAGCTTTTAAACGAAGCGAAACAGGCAGACGGACATGGAAAGATTGCTCATTAGTAGATGCTGAAAAACAGAAAATAAACTATTGTAACATAAATTTTAAACTATTGGTTATATAACAATTGTCAATAAGATGAGTATTAAATGAGTGTTAAAAAAAACTTATGAGGCTAAAAAATATGGCCTTAGACTACAGTTTTAGACTCTTTGGTATAGAAATAAAACTAAAAAGTATAGGGGTTATATTATTTTATTAGTATTGACTTACTACTTATACAAGAGACCTGCACAAGTGAACTTCTAAGTGAGAACTTATAAGTTTACTAAAATGTTCACTCACTTCAACTTGAAAAAAAATTCAAGTCGAGTAAGCCATCGAATTTTAAGTCAAACAACACTCTATTACTTGAAACAATTGAGTCCGAGTTGTACCACTTACGAGTTATTTCAAGTTACTCCCATTACTTGGAATTCGAAAAGTAGACACTATGTCTTATAAGTCAACTGAGCACTTTCAGTTTCCAGAACATTAATGTTTATATTTATATTTCTAAAGGGATTAACACCAATAATCGTGAAGAAAATATCCCTCGATGGACCGCAAATTCACTGGAGGTAGAGCCTTAATGTAGCGGGAAAAAATTTCTACAGAGTCGATTTTTAGTGTTCTCCACCAGAAATGTCCACGATAGACCGCAAGTTTTGGAAAGTCGCCTAGTTGCGGTACCGAAGCAATATTGACTATTTCATACGTTATTAAGAGCGCGCGAATCCATTTTTCGCGATTTTAAGGGTTAAGCCCTACACAAGATTATCATAATATTTTTGGCAAAGCTTTAAAATTTCCGAGGAAGTTGCTGAAAGCACTTTTAATAATTCCTTTAACAAGTAGGAATCACTCACTTACTTGACTTGAAAATGCTAGCAACTTGTAAGTGAGTAGACTCGAACTCTATCTCTATTTTAAACAAGAAAGAAAGCAAACTTCGGCAAGCCGAAGTTCATATACCCTTGCAGCTATTGCAAGAATTTAACATGTTTGAAAACATTAAAATTATGATTTACTGCGTATATGTTTAAAAACATTGAAGCTATGATGATTAGCAGCTCAATTATTTGATAGTTATTTTATATATTTTTATTATTTCTATGGGAGCTATATGATATAGACGTCCGATTTTGATAAAATCTAAACCATAATTCTGAAATATTTAATAATTGCTATATGTCGAAGAACTGAAAAAAAATTAAAAAACAGAAAAGTTATAATTTTTTTCATTTATTTTTCCGATTGTTCCTATGGGAGCTATATGCTATAGTCGTCCGATTTTGATTAAATTTAAACCGTAAATCGGAAATATTTAACCATTACTAAACGTCGAAGAACTACCAAAAAAAATTAAAAAACAGCAAAGTTATAATTTTTTTCATTTATTTTTCCGATTGTTCCTATGGGAGCTATATGCTATAGTCGTCCGATCCGGCTCGTTCCGACTTATATATTACCTGCAATAGAAAGACAACTTTTGGGAAAGTTTCATGCAGATAGCTTTAAAACTGAGAGACTAGTTTGCATATAAACGGACGGACAGACGGACAGACTGACAGACGGACAGACGGACAGACGGACGAACAGACGGACGGACAGACGGACATGGCTAGATCGACTCTACTAGTGATGCTGATCAAGAATATATATATACTCTATAGGGTCGGAGATGTCTCCTTCACTGCGTTGCAAACTTCTGACTGAAATTATAATACCCTCTGCAAGGGTATAAAAATGTACTTGTTTGCTCATTCAAGTAGAGTCAGGGAGGACTCTAATTTATACTTTAATACTGCCTGTAGTTCATTTTCAAGACACTTTTATTTATTCTAAGCTTTCAGTTTTTTTTTGGATGTACCTATTGTATACTTTGTGGAGTCGAAAACAGCAAAGGGGAATTTAGATTAATACTCTCTTTTAAAATAAGTGCCATATAGATAATTTTTAAGGTCAGAAATATCTTTTTATCTATATTGAAATTGTAACACTCTCTGCGAAGATATAAAAAAAAGGGAAGCCGAAGTTTTTATACTGCTATCCCAAAAATGTATCATGAATATACTGACTATATCAACTAAATATATTCATATACTGGTCGTTCCTATGGCAACTTTTAGTTATAGTAGTCATGTTCTTTTAAGTTTAAAACAAGTTACAAAATTGTATAAAATTACTATATTCCAGGTGATTCAAAAACGAAAAAAGAACCCATAATGTGTAAACAATCTTTATCAGGAACAATAGCCTAGTCGAGTTTCATACAGACAGGCTGACATATTTGGCTAGATCGACTCCGCAATTGGTCCTGATTTATTACATATATATATTTAATAGGGTCTGAATCACTTTCTTTTATTTTCTGTTGTATATTTCGGGGAATAGTGAGAAGTAATGGATATTTTTCAATTAATGTTGCCATCGATTCTGTGGTAGATTTGAGAATAAGTCGACCCTTCGCAGTACTTCTTAAAATCTACCTGCAATACACACATTTCTTTAAGTTTCATCCAAATAGCTTTACAAAAGAGACAATTTCGCGTAGAAACGGATAGACGGACTGCCTAGGTAGATTTGGCTGATTATCCTGATTAGGAACCTATTTATAATTAGGTTGGAACTGTCTCAATAAAAACTTTGGAGACTTTTGACTAAAACTGAAATATTTTCTGCAAGAGTATACATATATCGAAATCACAATATATTAAATCACAAATATTAAAAGTTGCCTGCGCTTTTAGCCCCTAAAGAAAATCGTAATTTCACAGTTGACAGTGGTGGAGGCCTCGGTGTGGTTCGGGTTCCCAATCGATCTGGTGCCTCACACCCGCACCAATGTTGCCGTTACAGCGGTATATCACTACTATGACGAAAGCACATTAAGACTGCCGTCCCGGTGGCGGCGTTGTGTAATGGACTATGAGCAGGACAGCGAGCACTTTCAGACTCTGGAAGGCCAGAAGTACATGCTGGAGAACTGTCAGGCTCAGTGCCAGCAGCGGTACCTACTACAATACTGCAACTGCTCCCTGGACCTGTTTTATCCACCATCTGAATTTGCCGCCTGTCAACTGAAAGACCTACCGTGCCTGGCGTCCCACAGCCGTCTGCTACAAAACTTCGAGCAGCCTGGAGAGCATTCTTATGTGCACAGGGAAGAGTCCGGCCTGCTTTGCGAATGCCTGTATAACTGCAAGTCCCTGACCCTGATTACTGATTTGCGCAAGGACGTCCAGCAGCCCTGGCTGAAACCCAACTCAAACATTAGCGAAAGCATGTGGCTTAACGTGTTCTTCAAGAAACCCTCCATGCTAATCTACAAAACAAACTTAATTTACACCTGGGTGGACCTGATTGGTATGTTAGAAGTTATGTGATTTCCTTAAAATGTCTAAAAGTCTAAAGTACGTTACCCTTTAACTTTTCAGTTTCTTTTGGAGGAATTTTTCAGCTTTGCTTGGGATGCTCTATTATTAGTCTCATCGAGTTTATGTTCTTTGTACTTTTCAGGGTACCAGAACTATATTGGAAGCGTTTTATGAACATGAATTAAAAACATGTTAAAAAAAATAATTACGATAATATCTACATAATAGGGTTGGTAAAACAATCGATTTCGTTTAAGCCAATCGGATCACCGCTTGGTCTTATAGGACAAAACCACTTTCGAGAAAATCGACGATACCCAAATGAGAAAGAAAAACTTCTTCAAGGCGAAATTTATACATTCTTTCAGTCAAAAACAAATATGTTATGTTCAAAGCGGTTTTTCGATAAATTAAGCAATCGTTCCTATTGCAGCTGTGGCTCTAATATTTTCATAAAATTTTAACAATATTTAGTAAGACACCAAACTAAAAACTAGTCACTTAACTTAAAATTACAGCCCAGTAATTTCGAACTTAATTTTGAAATGTATTTAAGTTTTATTAAAATTGTTTTTATTTGTTCTTTTTTTTTAAACTCTCGCAAATTAAGTTTCGGAGTATAAAAGAAAATTTTATCTCATTGATAGTTATATTTTCCAGTTCATAAAAACCGAGCGTGTTTATTGAAATCTTAAATTACAGTGACCTCGTTTGTTCAGCTAAGGACTTATCAGCTGAGCTTTTGGATAGTGAGAAAAGGAGCGTAGCATAACAGCTCTACCTGGGCTGTGACTTTGGGCTGCTGCAGCCTATCGCCTATCCGACGTTCTCTAGTTTTAGTTTTTCAAGTACTCTCCTTTGTAGTATGCACATGTATCGAGCACCCACTGTACCAAGAGTACTAAAAGGGAACACACTGTAACACTTTGTTGCAGTATTTACATAATTCAAAGTCCTGGTCATAAACCCAAGTGGCCGAAATACGATCGCTATGATTGGGCCGCACACAGAAAGTGCAAGTGCCAGCATAACTGTATTACGAGTCAGCATAGCTTTATATTTAAGAATAAACGAGACTCAGAGCTCTTTAGCTTCTTAGTAAATTTATAAAACAGAAGAGACTCCTGAGAGCTGGAAGCGGTAACTACAGCCGCTCCAGTTAAATAAACCGAAAATCAATTAAACTTAATAATAGTCTTTTTCTTAAATTAATTGGGATTACAAAAATTAATCAATACATGGCAACCGTGAAATTACTACTTGGAAAAATTTACTTGTAAAACAATACACTTTCGTATTGCATGCAAACGACAAGCATTTGGCTTGCCGCCTTTGCATTCCACATAAGCATTTGAAATTAACTCATAAACATAAACAAGTTGCCAATAAACTGCGAAGTACTTATATTTTGTTAATTCGGGCAATTTGTTTCTATTTTTGTTAGTTTAATACCTGACTTTTTGATCGCCGTCTTGGGCCAACAGTGCTAGTGAAAAAGCTCACTCTATTTTATAAATATCCATGTTAGAAAAATTCATGAAACATAAGTAATTTTTTCCTAAAAATTAAAGTATATTATTATTATCTTGCGGAAGTAAGCTTTTGTGGTTTTTAAATAAATATCCTTGAATTTTTGCCCTCAATGAAAGAATTGATCAGTCTTTCCGATTCAGTGACTGACTCTTAATTTACGTACACCAAAAGTAAAAATATGAGTCGCTATTAAAAAGTGGTAATAATTAAAAATAGTAATATTCTGATAATAACCGGGTACTAAATTAGTGACAATAGTCTACAAAACCTTACGAAAAATGAAATGTATCACTTAATAGTACTCACAAATATTCCCTATTTTATTTAGTTAGTAGTTGTTTATACTCGGTATGTTATGGTACTCTCATATAAATTTCTTATTAAAATCTAATAAAATCGCCTTTGAATTTTCGCCTAAGGCGAGTCGCCTTCATTTAAAGAAAATTTCTTTCTTAAATTAATGACGATTCCTTTCTTCAAACAAGAAATTCAGCTCTTAAACCATAAAATCTTATATATATAAATCTTATATATAACGTGCTTTTAAGATCTATTTACACTGCGTGATGCTAAAATACTGGAAAAAATTTGTAAGGCCAAGAAAAAATCGCAAAAGACTGTGAATTCAATCTCACAGAAATGCATAACATTTTATTTATTTATTAGCTTTTAAGAATACAACTCTTTACTTAAAACGTGTTTAACCTATTTTATGAAGAGCCCCGTAATAAATATCTGAATTTGTGGTTTAATAAAATCAGTGTTTAAAAAACTGCAGTTTAATGTCAAATGATTTTGCTCCTGCTTCTGTTCCTAGAAGAGTAGAAGTCGCAGTCGAAGCAAATACAAAAAACAAAAAGCGAAACAAATCGGAAAGCAGCTTTTTTTTTATTGCTTGCCGTTATGCTGTTGCTTTCAGCTATCAGCGTATGTCGGAGCAGCGGCATACGTCGGAAGAAGCAGTCAGGTAAGTTAATGTGTTTCGACTGTTTGATTTTTTTCGATTTCGAAGTGACTACTCGCATAAGTCTTAGTATCGGTCCTCTTGCATTCAGTAGGATTTGCTTAGCGCACTGGTTTTCTCGCTTGCCGTCTTGTGGAAGGATTGCCGAGTGTCCAGGGTGACTCCCACACAGAGAAAATTAATCAATCGCAGAATTTTTATACCCAAAAAAATCCAAGATCAAAAATTCTCAGTTTAAGTTGAATTTACTCAGTTTAAGTAAACATTTTAAGAACGAAAAAACTCAAATTGAGTACATAAGTAATTTTTCAAGTATTTGAAAATTTACGAAAACGTAAATAACATTTTCTTTCAATTTTATTGCTTGTTTTACATACATATGCTGACTTTGATATAATATTTAATAATTGCCTGTAATGAACATTCGACGGGCTTGCTTAAACTTAACAAAATATACGCGTGCTTCTCTTTACTGTTCTGTACATGATTCTGGCGACGAGTGTGTAGTGTCAACTCGCTGCCACTCTTTTCTTAGGTTGCACCTGGGTATCGATAACTTCTTAATACTATCGAGAACAGAAAGAGATATATAATGAATCAGACTGCGAGACCACTTCTGGTTGTCCTTGTTACACCACTACCGCATCCCACAATCGGCCCTCCTGACTTGGGATTTACACCGAATGGCTTCATGAACTCCAAACCTGTACTTGTTTTATACGGTCCTTCACCTTCTCCGATCAATTCAACCCCAGAATCTGCCATACGGTCCTCCGAACCCCGATCAATTCAACCCCCAAACTTCATGTCCTCAACAGGAATAACATGAAACTCGACCGACATGTCAATCTTGACCTTTTTAATAAAACTGACAAACGTTACAACCTAACTTGCACCAATTCCTGTTAAGACTCTCTGTCGACCCATCAAACTACCAACTCCAACACCTAGTTTTATGAACACACTTTCTAACCGTTTCTTCGTTCATGTCGCTCACAACATTGACGCCCTGCGAGCCATACTTGTTTCCTTGGATGAACCACGAGACATTTGTTAATTCGTAGCTTTAACAACATGGCCTTGTTGGACCTGGCGTCCGGGACTCCCTCTACGAAATATTCGATTATGCTTTTTTCTTCCAAATGAATGGGTTTGAAATCTCCATCAGCGCGTACAAGAATTCGTGCAAGGATTTACCCTTATGCAGCTGTCGTTTTTCCTACCTGCGATGGACTTCTGCTGAGGACAGTTTTACACCGAAGTCCTCTAGCAAGGCCAACTTCAAGCTTTTCCAGTCCTTAACGTTCCTCTGGTTGCGCACCAACATCTTCGCTGCTCCACTCAGCAATTGTTTTGCATACACAAAAACCCGTAATTGGTTCCAATCAACTGTAGCTGCGCAATCTTCTAACTCTCATAACAATTGGTTTACATCTTTCAAAGTAAGCCACTATCTTCCCTGCCGTTCGAATCCCATTCCTATATGCCAGTCTGCGGACACCATTGATTCACCATCTTCACTATTATCATTCGTCTCTGACTCACCCTCGTGCTTATTCCGAAGTTGGTCAGTAATCTCTGTGTTAATTTCGCGTTCAATCCAGTCGTACCCAAGTGCAACTCCGACAACTTCCGACATAACTCTTTAAATCGCAATCGTTTCTTTCCATTTTACAACGTTAAGCTGCAAAATATTAAGTTTAATACTAAGTTTTCTTAAATTTGAATCGCAATTCAAAATGTAAATAGAAAACTGTTTCCAGCCCGATCTACTGCTCCTTGACATTTTCTATGGTGTCCAGCAGCCAGATTGGTCTATAGGACACGGGAAAACTTGTCAATGTGTGTGCCGACAGCGGTTTCATACTCCTCGTGTCGTGCTCTGCCGTCTCTCAGTCACAGCAATACATACATAGGGCCGCTGTTATAGGTGTTTGGGGTGCTGCTCGCTCTTTGCTTGTAGGTTTGTCAATGCAGTTCCGCAGATGGCGCCCGCTAAACCTCTATTTATTTTGAAACGCTATTGAAAACACTATTTACTTTTTTAAACGCTTTAGTTTGAGAAATTTTGTAAAAAAATAAATTAGGTTTTTCGATCAAAATATTAACAAATCAAAAATCGATGGGAATCGAACTTATGTTATCATAAAACAAGATTTAAATAGATTTTTTTTTCCATCCCGCGAACTGCATTGTTGACACTACAATCTGAAAGCGAGCAGCACATCCGCTTGTTCTTTTCAGTCAGTGGTTTTTCTCTCTGCCGCTCTTTAAAACACATGAACTCAGTTTTTAATTTTATGTTGCAGATAAAAAGCTTTTTAGTCTAAAATTTAAGAATTCAAGATATCCGAAAGACATAACAATAGCTGAAAAATATGCAGAAGTCGAGCTGCAGAGTCTACTAGACAACATAGCTTTAAGTATTTTGCAGCTCCAAAAAAATGTAATTGAAAATTGCCTTGATGACACAGAGGACACATTAAAATTAATTGGAAAATAGGGATTTGATGGCAGTACTGGGCACAGTGAATACAAGCAAAAGTTTTTTAACTGTAATGACGATGATAGAAGTCTATTTTTAACATCGTACGTCCCACTTCAGCTAATAACTGAAAGTAACTCCAAAATCTACACGCTATTGTAGGCCAATCAGACTTCAATTTAAAAAGGAAACAGCCATACTATCCGTTGAAGAAGAAGTCTAC